AAAAAAAAAGATGTGGGCGTTCAGTAGTAGGCAGGCCTGAGGACCCTGAGCCCCTTGCATCAGTTCTGCATTCTGTGTTTGCGTAAATTCTATTCTTCTCATTCTTCTAGAACTTCTCCCTCAGGTCAGGCAGCTGTGGTAGGTAGCAGGGCCACCTTGCCGTGTCATCACCGCCTCAGGCTGTGCTGAGACTCAAGACCAGTGGTTCCTGGTGCCCAGGATTGGACCCTCTCTTCTCAGGCATTTCTTTTTTGCCTTGCAGTTGGGAATTATACGCAGGCTATCGAATGTGCCAAGACCTATCTCCTCTTCTTCCCCAACGATGAGGTGATGAACCAGAATCTGGCCTACTATACAGCCATGCTTGGAGAAGAACCAGCCAGATCCATTGGCCCCCGTGAGGTGAGAGACTTGCGTCAGTTAGAGGGCAGAAGAGTGGCCGGGGGTGGGGGGTGGGGGCAGAAGGGTCTGGTAGTGCTCGGGCAGCGGCCAGGAGTGGGGGTTGCCTGGGCCGGGCACGAGTACACTGACGCACTTGTCACTCAAGAACCAGGGAGCAGCCTTACTCCACACCATCGGGGCCCAGAAGTCTGCCGTCTGAGTTGTAAAAGAAAAGCAGAACCGCAACACAGGCTCCCCTTTTCCCCTTTCTTGGTACCTCTGCTTTGAGATTTGCTGTCATTTGGCCAAGATCTATCATTTTTTACTTCCAGCTAAATTCTTTTTTCGCTCACCTGTTTTCTTGCCTGTTTCCTCCCTGTCCCTTCTCTGAGCTCTCCCTCCCTCAGCATCACTCCCAACTCAACTCCCAAGCAGACACAATGACCAAAGTGAAATACACTGACGTGCTGACTGTGGTTATTTCTAGGTGGTGGAATATGGGTGATTTTTTTGTATCTTGCCCATTTATGTTTTCTAAATTCCCTTCAGTGGAATTACAAGTTATTTTTTGTAGTTAAAAACACGAAAAGTTCTTTTTTTAACTCAGTGAAATACAATCCTGTGAACCTCGATATTTGTACATACGCCTTTCACGGACCCTAGACCCTCTCCTTCTTGAGCCCAGAATGGTGAGTTGGATTTGAAGTCACTGGTCTGGGCTCCTGCGCTTACAAGGATGTGTGATCTTCTGCATGTCGTCGTGTGGGATCTCAGACACCCTGCACGGCCCCTCTGAGTCTCCGTTTCTCCCTCTATAGAACGCGATTATGGTTCTTACTCTTTCTTCAACACAAGATGAGCGCGAGAGGCAAATGAAATACCGAGTAGAAATGCACTTTGTAAGCCAGCAGGCGTGGTACGAGTGTGTCCCAAGAGTTGTGTGGACAGGCAGCATCCCAGGGGTCTTTCTGATGGTAGACAAGTAGCCAGCGGCCGGCTTCCTCACCTCTGACCTCAGCCACCTCCTGGAACAGGGGGTGGGTGGCCTATCGTGGCTGTAGTGATCCCTGACTTCAGAACAGGAGACTAGGAGTGAGAGGAAGGCGAGCCTCAGTCACCCATGTCCTGCAGGCTCCTCCCAAACCCTAGCTACCTTCTATGTAAAAATGTAACTTTGGACCCGTTTTTCATTTTATTGGAGGAAAAATATGGTAAATAGCATTACTCTAGAGGCAGCTCATTTGTTTATGCGACGAATATTTGGGACAAATAAGGGTGCAAGAGCAGGCGCACTCCCACGCCACTGGTGGGATTATGAGTTGGACCGTTCGTTTAACCGGCAGTTCTGCCCCCCGGAGATGGGCCGCGCAGCCGTGTCGCACGAGGATGCGAAGGCAGACGCGCCCGGACACGCGTCAGAACCTTGCTGCTAAAAGCAACCACCCGAACCAAGCTAAATGCCATCCATTGGGGAACTGGCTTAAATGAATCGTGGTAGATGCATTCAGTGGTATGTGAGACAACCATTCTATTGCGTGAGTGGGTTACTACCCAGCGGTATGAGATGGTGTCCATGCTATTGTTGTAGGGTTGTAGGTAAAGGGAAAAAAAAAAAAAAGATCTAGAACTGTATATTCTATCGTATTTATGTTTTTTAAAATACATATGTACTTTTTAAGTCGTCAACTTTGTGGACAGATTGACAAGAAACTGTTCATCAGCTTACCCCTGAGGCACGGGCCTACAGGGCGGGGGTGGGGAGGGAGACCTGTTCCTATTTATGCCTGTTGATACTTTGTGGATCTCTTCTAGCTATAGGTGCATTACCTTCCTGTCTTTTTGAATGCCATCTAAAGCACACCTCAGGGACTGACGATACAGAAGGGTACATAATCCCGAACTTAGAGAATACTGTAGTAAATCTAAGAGTGGCCATGGATGCAAGCTGGAGTGGAGGAAGGAAGTAATTGACTGACTGGCAAGCCACCGGAGGCTTTTCAAGAGGAAGTGCTGTTGACATTTGGTCTTAAAAGCCTTCAGGAGGTGAATGAGGCAAGGGAAGGCCTGTGAGATGGAGGACAGCATGTGCACACAACCCGGACAATTGTCCCACATGCATGCAAGGTGATATGAGGAGTTACAGGAGATGAGGCCTGGGAGGGTCAGATTCGGAAGGGTCTTGAGTGCCCTGACAGGACCTTGGCCTCTGTCCCACAAGGCAGACAGTGGTGGGCGCCCGGAGGGTTTTAAGCAGTAGTCCAGGCAGCTGTGCAAGGCTCAGAACGGGAAGGAGCTGGAAGCAGGAGACCAGTACAGGGCGACTGTGGCGATGCAGAGGGGAGCTGCGGGGCCGGGGGAGACGCTGGCTGGAGGAGGGAACTGGCTGGGTGGGGTAGGAGGTGGCATTGGCAGAATGGCGGGGGGGGGGCGGTTCACTCCTCCCTCTGCATGTCTAATTAGACACAAGTTTGCCGCTTGGGAGACGCAGGCGTGGTGCTGCCCACCTAGCTCAGGAGCGCACAGCGGAGCGGGATGCTTTCCTCACACATCTGCCCTGCCTGTACTCCAGCCCCAGGGGGCTAAGCTTTCCTCTGTTCGCCGAGAGAAGGACGTAGAGGATGAGGCAGCAGTCGACTTCCCGGTGTGGTGGTTGTGGAGCTTTCCATTGAGGGTAGCCACCCTTCGCGTGTGGGGGGCATTTAGGCTGCAAAATTCCTCCATAGCTTTTATTTTTATTTCATTCGATTCTCATAACAACCTGCTGGGGTGGGGCTACCAGCCTGCCCTGAAGGGAAAAACCCAGGTTCTTCCTTCCTAGCTCTGGAAACCGGAGTCTCTCCTCGCCTGAGGACGTTACCTTGTAGTTGTCCTCTCTGGCCACCAGGTGGCGACAGTCTGCATTTGCGATGGCACTTCTTCGGGTCTCTGTCTTGCTGAGTGAAGACCCTCCCAACCCCCCACTTTATGGTCATATTAGTGAGTCTGGGGCAGAGAGGGAAAATAAACCACTTTTAACTAGAACCCTCCTTCGGGAAAGAAAGTAACTAGCATTTGTTGAGGGCTGCCCCAGTCCACACGCCGTGTGGTTCAGCCCCCATCATCCTCTTATTTAATCCCCACAGTGGCCGTGGTAGGGGGCGCTATTCTCCCATTTTAGAGATGAGAACATTCGGGCTCGGAGAGATGGGCTAGCTCGCCCTGTGGCCTGTGGCTGAGGGTGGCGGCCCGGGTCCCTCCCTGCGTTGTCTCAGCGCTGGCGCAGTTCCCAGCTCCTTGCTCCTACTCCATGAATCAGTGCCGAGCGAATAAACGTAGGCGTGGGATTTGCTTCCTAGCAGCCTCAGGGCCGCGGGAGAGGGTTTAACGAGAGAACGCACCGAGCGTGGTGTCTAGCACTTGGTGAATCACTTAAACTCCTTAGGAGAAATTTCCATCTCCCTGTTGGGTAAATATGCTAGATGATGTAGGACTCATTGAGGTCTTGCTAACATTTTCCTTACTGCCTTCATCTTTAATTGCAACTGATGACGTCTTCTTTCTCTTTTCTTTCCTCCTCCTGCTGCTTGGAGACTAGCAGGGCACCTAGGGAGAGAGGTGGCCCCAGAAGGCACTTAGTCTCCCAGCCCTGGGTAAGCCCTCCCTGTGAGCACGTGTGGGAAGGGCCAGAGGGCCCGAACCAGCTGCTGCAGCTGCAGCCGCCCTGCTCCAGGAGGGATCCATCCAGTCTGTTCAGAGTCTCAGGGGAGGCAGTGGGCCTAAGGAAAAAGCTCCTGGCCTTTAGGGTTTGAATGTCGGTCCCTGCTCCCTTTCCTTTAGTGTCAGCTTAAACAAGCCGCCTATCCGCCCCCTGCACCTCAGTGTCTCCATCTGTAAAACGAGGAGCACGGTGTCAATGTCAGAGGTGGCTGTGAAGGTCAAATGAATAACACATGGGTCACCCAACATCTAGGTCTCCTGCCTCCCCGTCGAACCCCTACGGAAGTCAAGAAAGAACTCTCCTTCTTTGAGGAATATTTCCACATCTCCTGAGAATCCTCAGATTTCCTGTCTCAGAGATTAACGGGGGGCACGGGGGGGCGGGTGTTATGTCACCCTCAGCGGAAGCAACCCTTAACACAGGGGTGAAGCTGCTGTCCCAGACGGGAGAACAGGCACAGTAGTGGTGGTGGGAGAGGAAGCTCAGATCACACTGGGAGCAACAGCATGGAATGTGGGGTTGGGGGCCCCCCGAGAGTTAACAGGGCTGAATTCCAGGGCATTCCTTCGACTTTGTTTCCTCAGAGTGCCCGGGAGTACCGACAGCGCAGCCTGCTCGAGAAAGAACTGCTCTTCTTCGCCTACGATGTCTTCGGAATTCCCTTTGTGGATCCGGTGAGCCCGGATGCGGGAGTCGGGGAGGGCGGCTGGCTGTGTGACTCTGTTTGGGGGGTGGAGCCAGACACGGGATCTGTGAAACCCGTGGATGAGAGACAGAGGAAGACAAAGGGGAATTCTGGGCAGCCAGAGGTGACTCTAGTTTGGAGACTCACTTGATCTCCTGCAAGGAGGCAGCCGGATTCTCCCGGAGGCCCGAGTCTGTGCAGAGACCCGGAAGATGAAGCGGGTCACCCTACAGCGTTGATTTTTCTCCTGATCTGCTTTTAGGATTCATGGACTCCAGAAGAGGTGATTCCCAAAAGATTGCAAGAGAAACAAAAGTGAGGACCCTGAAGAGACTGCATGACTGGAGCGGCCTGATAAGCACTTGAGGCTTCCTGAGCCCAGGCAGATGTGCACTCCTGGAAGTGGGGGGTGGGGGCGCTGGTCCAGGCTGGGAAGCTGGGGTGGGAGCCAGGGTGGCCCCCGGAACACAGTCCTCAGAGCGGCTGTGCGCACAGGTCCGAACGGGAAACAGCCGTCCGCATCTCCCAGGAGATCGGAAACCTTATGAAGGAGATTGAGACCCTGGTGGAGGAGAAGACCAAGGAGTCGCTGGATGTGAGCCGGCTGACGCGGGAAGGTAAGAGGACAGCGCTCCGGCCTCTGGCTGTCGTGGAGGCAGCAAGGCAGGCGTCCCCGCGCTAGCTGGCCGGCCCCGGGACTGGGCCTAGACTCACCAGGACTTCCACCCGGAGAAGGCCTTCGGGGAAGTACGACTCCTGGGTCACAGCAACGCTAGTTAAGCTCACTGCAGTCAGTGTTTATAGCGCAAACCTCATCCGGTCTCCCCACTTCCATCATGCATCCTGCTACCAAGCCTCCAAATCTGAGGTCTCTTCCCCCCTGCTCCGCCTCCTCCAAGCTGTGCTGACACTGCTTTTCCTCGCCTCTCTCCCCAAGCCTCTCCTCTTCCCATTGCTGCGGGTCCCCTGCACCTGCTGTGGGCACTCCTGTCCCTCCTCGATCTGTGCTTCCCCTACCCCTGCAGTGGCTAGACCGGGCTTCCAAACGCGCAGACCCTACCCCTACCCGCCCTGCCTGCTGCTCGAACTACCTGCTTCTACCTTCTGTTCGTGTGCGCTGGGCTGCTTCTGTTCCTTGGGCCCGTCTGCCCCCGTGGCTGTGCTCATGCCTGTCCCTCCTCCCGGTACCCTCCCATCGCCTCTGCCCACGAAGCCTTAATCTCCCTGTCCTGGGGACCCTCTCCCTTTTTGTTTGGAACTTTCACGGCAGCTTTCTTTTTGCTTGCACCAAGTCTGCCCGTTTGCATCGTTGCTGGGAGAGGGACCGTGTTCAGGTGTGAGACCCTCGCCTCGCACGCGGGGCCTGGCGCACACGGGGGCTTCAGTGAGTCGCCTTCAGTAGGTCCCCAGCACGGAGGGACACCAGGAGAAATAGAAGAGAAGGTTAGCCTTTGCTCTATAGTTGCTTAAATGAAAAGTGGGTGATTTCACAAGAAGAGCACGTGGAAAGAATTTGTCCCGCATTCCTTGGTTTTCAGGCAGCTTTCACTCTGTGGTTTCTCTTCTGAGGCTGGCTGGGCAAACTGAGGTCCTCGTTGGAAATAAATGCAGCCGGAGCCTGGTGCGATGGCAGCGAAGATGCTGAGCCTTCCCTGTGCGCCCGGTAGTGTGCTGAGCTTTTAACTCGCCTTGATGCTCTTTACATCAAGCAAGCACCAATCTCAGGAGGTAGATGCTGTCTTACAGATGAGGAAATGAAAGCTCAGGGAGGTTAAGTAACTTGCTGAGCTCACACAGCTAATAGGTGGAGGATTCAGGAGTTAGACCCCCTTCTTTTTGATTCTGGAGCTCAGGGTTTGAAGAATCTGTTGGCGATGTTTCCTCAACAACTGGCGAAGGCCCAGAGCCAAGAACTGTTTGGGAGAGGAGCTAGGACTAGGGCCTGGCACTCCCGTCTTGTCCGCTCCAGGTGCTGTCCTCTGAGCCATTTGCCACCTTTGGAAGTGGCCGGAGAGGAGGTTTCTCTGGTGCCCTGGAAACAACTGGAATTTCTATTCCCGTCCGATGGAGAGTGTCTGGACAGAGCTGCCGCTGGACTCAGCCCAGTCTTGCCGTTGCTTTGCAGGTGGCCCCCTGCTCTATGAAGGCATCAGTCTCACCATGAACTCCAAAGTCTTGAACGGTTCGCAGAGGGTGGTGATGGACGGCGTAATCTCCGCTGACGAGTGCCGGGAGCTGCAGAGACTGACCAACGTAAGGGAAACCCCGTGACCGCGCCTCCCCGCTGAGCTCGCCTGCCCCTCGCTGCACACCGACGACCACCTCTTCGCGGACCCTCAGCTGCCCCAGCTAAGCCCCCCTGTGTTTTGGGCCTTGCAGGCAGCAGCGACCTCGGGAGATGGCTACCGGGGTCAGACCTCCCCACACACCCCCAGTGAAAAGTTCTATGGCGTCACGGTCTTCAAAGCCCTCAAGGTAGAATTAGTACTCAGCATTCTGGAGTGTGGGGAATGGGAGAGGGGAGGCTCAGGCCGTGGGGGGTAGTGGGGGGTGGGAAAGGTGAAGGTGTCTGCCTGTCGGATTCCAGAGGCCACTGGAAGGAGGAGGAATTAAGTTGAGGAGGTTGACTTTTGCGTCCTGGCTGGTGAAGCAAGTGTGATCAAAGCGAGGCAGGCGAGACAAGACTGGTGGCCAGAGCTGGGAGAGGGCTTCCTGTCCACAGAGAGGAGCGTGGAGGAGGGGCAGGGGCAGGGGCAACACGGGAGCGCTGTCGCGTGTGGGAGCAGAGCAGGGGGCCCGATGCCTCAGTGGGCTCTGTTGGCCCGCCGCCGGGCGTTCAGGGCAGCTGACTGCTGGTCTCCTTGGCAGCTGGGACAGGAAGGGAAAGTCCCCCTGCAGAGCGCCCACCTGTACTACAGTGTGACCGAGAAGGTGCGGCGCGTCATGGAGTCCTACTTCCGCCTGGACACGCCACTCTACTTCTCCTACTCCCACCTGGTGTGCCGCACCGCCATCGAAGGTGGGCCTTCTCCGTCCCTGCTGAGCACACGCTGTGGCCTGGCGCGGGTGCTGAGGACATGGGAAGGAACGGGATACGGCCCTTTTCATCCTAGCCGGGGCACCGACACGAAATGGGGCAACCCCGTGCGATCAGTGCGGCGGAGGGAGTTCCAGTCCGTCCACCAGGGAGTCAGGAGGACTTCCTAGAGGAGGTGGTGACCGTTGTGCAGGATGAGTAGGAGTGGTGGAGTGCCCAGGTGATGAGAGCATGCTCGAGCCAGAAAGAACAGCACGCGCAAAGAAGTGCAGGCATTGGGCAGCCTGGTGGGGGGACTAAGAAAGTGGCCATTCCTGGGGTGTGGGGTTGAAGGGGGAGCAGTTCGGTAAGTCAGATAAGGCTTGGGCAGGCTTTCAGAAGCCACACTACGGAGAGCTACATTCAGGAGTTTGTTTTCATCCTGTAGGCCACTGGGTCTCAGCAACGCTCCTGGGCTTCCAGGCGTGTAGGTCAGTCGTGAGCGATGTTGCAAGTTCTGTCACAAACCGTTCGGTCCCAAATCCGTGAGAGACGGACTTTCACAAGTCAGAGCAGATGCGAGGTCACTCGTCGTCCGCTCTCTCTCTCCTGCGTTCCCTTTGCTGTCCTGAGGAGGGATGAGATGTGGCCAGTGCCCCAGGGTCACACGTGGCCCACAGCCCCATCTGTCATGCCGTCGCCTTCGGAGGCCCCGGCACTGATGGGCCACTAGGTGGTAGAGATGAGAGGGCTTTATCCGCCCCCCAGAAGGTCTGGAGTGCTCTCGAACTCTGGACACACCCAGAGGAACGCGTCAGACACAGCCGTATGTGTCGTGGCCTCTCAAGGTGGGGGCCGGGCAGCGGGAAGCTGGGAAGAGCCCTCAAACGCGAAGGACTCGGTGAGACCTTTGTCTTCGCGAGGTTAGTTTTGCCGCTTTGTGGTGAGAGATTTGGAGAACGTGGATCAAACCAGAGGGCGGGAAGCTGGTCAGCAGCGACCGGGTGGGTAAGGACAAAGGCCCACCTGGCCAGTGGCGGTGGGAGTAAGAGAGGAGAGGACAGGTGAGGGAGACGGAGGAGGTGGAGGGACAGGGCGTGGCACCTGGCCGGACAGGTGGGGACAAATAGGAGGGATCTACCGTGACCGGATGGTGCCACCAGCCTGCTCTGGGGGCGACGGTTCCATGTCATGAATGTGCTTGCCTAGCATTTTACAGTACGTGCCGTCGGTGCCCTTTCACGGCCTTCCTCCTGCGTGGCTTCTCCCCCTGCGGAGCCCTGCGGAAGCTAACTGCTTACCTTTGCTCCTGTCTGGTCCCCTCCGTGCCGTCCTCATCTTGTCTCCCGCTGCAGAGCGAGGCTCACTGTGCCCTGCATCCTGCCACCCTCCTGACTCCTCATTTTCATCTCCCGGGGGATTCCTGTTTTGTAAATTCGAGCCAGAAAGCTGGGGTCGTGCCGCTGAGCCCAGAACCTGCCCTTGGTTAGAGCCTCCCAGCCAAGCTTGCTGCACCTGCTTGGCCCACCAAGAACCTTGCTGGGAAGCCTGCAGATTCGTCTGCCCCCGGGCTGATGGCTTAGCCAGAGACCCCCTAGTTCACTGGCCATTCCCATAGACCCAAAGGCATTTTGGGAAGCACCCCCCATGCCAACAGGAGAGCTGCAGTGTCTCCTGAGGTGTCCCCACGCTAACGTGCGTTACCTCGGCCCCAGAGGCACAGGCCGAGAGGAAGGACAGTAGCCACCCAGTCCACGTGGACAACTGCATCCTGAATGCCGAGGCCCTCGTGTGCATCAAGGAGCCCCCTGCCTACACCTTCCGGGACTACAGGTGCCCGCCCTCCCTCTGAGGTCCCCAGTCCCCTGCGCCTTGCCCCGTCCCCAGCACACAAACACACACACACACACACACACAGGTGTGGGACCAGCTGTCCCCAGAATCCAGTCCCCTGTCCCCACACCCTCTGGCCAGGCAGTCGGACGGAAAGGGAGTCATTCCCGTGTGGTGTGATGAGGAGGACAGTGGGTTCTCTGGAGTGAGGGTGGAGGGTGGGGAGGCTGTCTTCCCATGGCGGGCCCCCTCCCCCTGCTGCTTGAGAGCCCCTGGCGATGTGGGAGCCGTGGGCTGTCGGGGGGACAGGAGGAGGCGGCCCATGGCGAGACCATGTCTGTCCTTCCCAGTGCCATCCTTTATCTAAATGGGGACTTCGATGGAGGAGCATTCTATTTCACTGAACTAGACGCCAAGACTGTGACGGTGAGCGTGCCCTCGTGCCTGTCCCTGGGGGCCAGAAACCCTCACAGTGCGGAGTGCCAGGGCCCCCCTCCTCAAACTGGGGGGCTCAGAGATAGGTCGCTCACTCCTCTGACTGGCCACCTTTTCTCTCCAGACCCTAGTGATCCCGGGTCCCCTCTGAAGGCAGGTTACAGTCTCCTGTGTACCCCCCACTCTGTGTCTCCTTCAGGCAGAAGTGCAGCCCCAGTGTGGGAGGGCCGTGGGATTCTCTTCAGGCACTGAGAACCCGCACGGGGTGAAGGCTGTCACCAGAGGGCAACGCTGTGCCATCGCCCTGTGGTTCACGTTGGACGCGCGGCACAGTGAGAGGGTGAGAGCGCTCGGTGGCACTGGGATCTGCCCCTGGAAGGGCCCCGGTTCAGCGTCCCCCTTCCCAGTCTCCTTGCCGGCGGCTTAGACATGAGAGGGACACTAGGCCTGGCGTCCACAGAGACTCCTCCTGGTCACGTTGCCTTGTCCTCCCTGGCCCTTCTTCCATACTGTAAATGGGGCTCCGGGTTGGGGTGCCAAACTGGGGGGTGGTGCTGGCGCTCGGTCGCAGCACTTCAGCTGTCCGCCCAGAGATTAGGACCTGCTGGGAAACAGATGAGCTCAGAGGCCATGGGGGAAGAACCTGTTGCCTCCCGGCAGTAGCACCTGAGAGCAGGTGAGCGCCTGGTCCAGAGGCCTCCCTGAACAGGCAGGGGTCTGTCCTTGCAGGACCGGGTGCAGGCGGATGACCTGGTGAAGATGCTCTTCAGCCCAGAGGAGATGGACCTCTCCCAGGAGCAGCCCCAGGAAGCCCAGGAGGGGGCCCCCAAGCCTGTAGAGGAGTCTCTGCCTGGCAGTGAGTCGGGACACAAGGATGAGCTCTGACAGCGTCTGGCTCGCTGTGGAGGGGTGAGCGGACGCACCCTGAGGAACTGTGTCCTCCACCGGGCGGCCCCCGGGGGCTGCGGTCTGCCGCCCGGCGGGACCCTGCTCGCAGCCGTCCGCACGGTGCTACCGCTCTCGGAGTGGACATGGCGGGACGGCCCTCTTGCCTCCAGACCCGGCTGAGGGCTCAGGACGCAGGCCCGGAGCCGCCCCCGGGGGCCTGCTCAGGCAGCCGAGTGACAGCACTGCAGTATTTAAGTGTCTGTGTAGACAACCAAAGAATAAATGATTTGTGGTTTTTTACCCGGGAGTGCTTTCAGAGAGTAGGAGTACGGCTACCTGCCGCCCGGGCCGGAGGCCGCTCCAGGGCGGCGTGAGGGGGCCTGGCGGGGGGACCTCTGCGGCCTCGGGCCGGACACCGAGCCCCAGGCCCCTCAGACCTGTCATCTGCGGAATGGGGATGCCGGTCCCCACTCTGCCCGCCTTCTGGGTGGATTCGGTATCGGATGTGACAGCCCTTTGTAAACTGGAATGCTCTGGATGAATGGTGGGGATTATGACCAAGCCCCCGCCAGCAGCCAGCTCGGGCACATCGCCCCCGCGTCAGCCGCATGCGTCCTGCTCTGCGGGCCGGCCTCGGAGGCCCTGGACCCCAGGAGAACACACACCTCTCGGAGACAGAAAGGGCACAGGTGAAGATTCTGCCCCTCTGGCCGCAAGCCCGTCTCGCCTCCCGGGCTTGAGATGCCGTGGGGTGCCGAGTTCGGGAACCCACGCTCTGGTCCTCACTTATTCAGTCAGCCAGTAGCCGTTGGTTGAGCCCAGTGCTGCCGGGACCACGTGAGCCAACGAAACAAGTCCCTGCCGTGACACAGCTGCTGTTTTAGTAGGGGCGACAGGTAACACACACGTGTGCGCGCGCGTGCGTGTCGGCCTTCGAGGTGGCCAAGGAAGCCGGTCAGGCCCTGAGGAGGGCCGAGCAGCACAGAGTGGGCAGGAAGGGGGACAGCCCTGCGGTCGCGGTCTCGGGGCCTCGTCGGTCCCTGTGGGCACGTGGGCCGTGCCTCAGTGAGACAGCAGAGGAGTGTCAGCCTCGGGGAAGGGTGTGTGTGCGGAGAAGGGGCTTTGGGGCAAGGGCGAGACGAGGAGAGGCGAGGGAGGTTGCTGCGGTCCCCAGCGGGAGGGGAAGGTGGCGTGGAGTAGGGTGCTGGAAGGGGAGAGGGTGGAAGAGGGCAGGTTCCGGATCCATTTTTGAGGTGGAGCCGACAGGAGTTGCTGATGGGTCAGGTGGTGTGAGAAAAAGGAGCATCAGGAAGGCTTCCAGCCTCCGCAGTGGGAAGAAGGGAGCCGCCTGCCCTCTGGCAGAGGAACCGCGGCGGGGATGGCGCTGGGCGTGGACGCCGGGAGCCCGGTGTCGCGCGTGCTGTGCCGAGTTCCAGGAGCCTGGAGCCTGTTAGGCCTCCAAGCAGAAATGTCAACTACACAGTCCAGTGTGTGGACAGGGAGTTCAGGGAGAGGAGGAGGGGGGAGCCATCACTTTGAGAGTCGTTGCCGGCCGTGGATGGTGTTCAAAGCCGGGAGACTGGGTGCGCATGGACAGGAAGAGGCAGAAGACCGAGCCTGCTGGAGGCAAGGAGGCTGGGGGTCCCAACGGAGGACAGGGGGCCAGCCGCAAGCAGGGGACCCGAGAGGGGTCTCAGGAGCTCAGCCCTACGTGGGGACAAGGACGAGCTGGACACGCGACGTGGAGGATCAGCCGTTCTGAAGTGGGGAGACAGCATCATATGTGAGCGCGCTCAAGGGCAGGACCTCACGGGGACGGTCACTCCTCTGCTAGTCCCTGGTGATCGCGTCCTGTTTGGTGACGCACTCGCCACAGGGAGAGAGGACACACTGATGGAAAGAGCATGAGCTTTGCCCCCGGGCTGAGCTGGGTGAAGCTCACTTCCATCCTTGGAGTCGTGTGAGGCCAGAGTGCGTGTCCCCCGCAGTAACATGGGGTTGTGGTCCTTACCGCCCAGGATGCCTGACCGCAGTAACGAGGGAATGCTCGGAAAGCACCTGGTGCAACGCTTAGCACGTAGCAGATACTCCACAGAACAGGAAACTACATCAGCCTGATTCTGGTCCTCCAGAGGCTTCCACACCAAGGCAGATGACCTTTACAATTTCAGTGTGTGCTAACCACGCAGAGCCAGCCAACTGTCTCACTTTAACCCATGAAGGGCCAAAGGTTTTCAGTGTCTGGGCCTGGGATAAATGCATGTAATGGGGGCGGGCTAGTGGTCCAGGCAAATGGCAGGGCTCCCAGCAGGGGTGCCAAGGACAGCCTGCGCTCAGGGTTGTTTGGGGAGGAGGGGGCACCCCCCGCAGTCACACATGTTGCAGAGACCCCACCCCACCCCCACCCTGGGTGAAGTGTAAGACCCAAAAATAAGGCTGGTAGTAGGGCCTGGAGGTGCTTACATTTCCCGGGCAAGGAAGCAAACCACACGCCAAATGCTATGAGTGGAAAAAGGCACAGAGCATTACGGAATGGCAGCTCTGGGCGCTTGGCCCCGCCTGGACACCACACTGCCGCCCAGCTGTGGTGCCTGAGGCAAGTCCTCTCCATTCCCAGCCTGTGGTTCCAGAGGAACAGAGGGAGTCTGAGTTGCAGGGGGAGTAAGACCAGCACCACCTCCTGAGCCCCCAACATTTCAGGTGGTGGCTGCCGAGTGTGCTGGATGGCAACCAACTGAATCAGACCCTCCCGACGGGCGGTGGGAGGGGGCCAGGGAAACAGCTCCAGTAATCCACCCGGAGGGAGGCAACGACGTGGACTCCCCAAACCAGTCGATGATCAGTGTGCGTCTGCTGAGCCTGGCTCTCTGCCAGGCACTGCTGGGTAGGAAGGGGCTGTGGGGCTCCAAGTCACAGGCAGAGCGCCCACACCCAGGCCGAGAGGGCCCAGGGGGGTCTCGCCCAGGAGGGAGTCTTTGGCGAAGAGCTTTCCTTAGCCAGCCCCATTTCTTCAGGCAGAGTATGCTTTCCAAAAGCGCTTCCACCCATTATCTGATCCCTGTATCTCTCTCATGAACCCGACAGGGCCAGTGCCTTTATCCCTATTTTATCTCAGAGAGGCTAAGGGACTTGCCCAATGTCACACAGCCTTTTGGTGGCAAAGGTAAAGCTAGAAGCCTAAGCTTCTGGTCACATACGTGAAGGCACTTGTTAGGAAGTGTGGCACCCCAGGGCGGTTTCTAGTTAGCTCCAAACGGAGGCTGGGCTGGGAGGCTGGGCTGGGACCCTGAGCGGTCCTGCTCTCCCCGCATGCCTGGGAGTCACTGGACTGCAGGGGACCGCAGGGGGAGTAGGAAACGCCCCCCAGGAGCGCCATCTGAATTCCAAACGGCCTTGGAGCCTTGGTGAGGGAAGGCCCTTAGGGTAGGAGAGGATATTCTGACAGCCTGGAAACCTCAAATAGCAAAGAGGAGGGTTGCCCAGAAGAGCTTCAGAGGGGACGTGAGCCTCAGTCTGGACCACAAAGTAGCTCTGGAGCCCAGTGCGAGGGAGGGATGCCCTGGACGGAGGGGTGTGCAGGCATCCCCACATCTCTAAGGCCTCACGCCCCCAGACTTCACTTCTGGGGGCAGCTGTGTGACCTTAAGTGTCTCACTTCCCCTCTTTGGTTCTCAGTGCCCTCATTCATCAGGGTCCTCCTCAGAAATCAGGGTGTGGGATGAACGTGGGATGAGCGTGGCGCTGGCGGACAGGTCTGCTGCGTGCTCGGCCCGGAGAGGTTACCTCCCGGCCTGCCCAGCGCCAACAGCTGCCTTGAGGACCAGACAGTTCGTGCACAGAAAGGGTGCTCACTGCGTGCCCGGGAGTCTCCGCTCTGGGCCCCAGCCATGTCCTCTGTTTCCCCTGATCGTACAGTCTCCAAACTGCCTGTGATAGAAGAGGGATCCCAACGCAGGACTGACTTCTCAACTGTTCTAGGCCCCTTTTGAATTGGGGGACCCTCGGGCCGTCGGGCCGTCCCAGGAAGCAGGTCTATGCGTCTGTGGATCTACGTGGCTCTGGCCTTCCCAGCGCACAGGGGACCCAGTGTCTGCCCCGCATGCGGAACTGCAGGCCAAACAGCGCCCAGCCCTGCCCCAGCCACTGGAGCTGTAGGCCATACCAGGGGCCCACGCCCCGGGCGGGCACAGGGCAGCCCTTGTCTGCGCAGTGCCTGGCACCCCCTCGTTTGCATAGCCACGTGAAGAATGCGAGGGAGCAGGCTGGGGACAAGTCCCTGCAGAGGGGGGCCGGGCTGTGGGGGAGGAAGCCTACGGGTGAGGGTGGGGGGTCGGCAGCCAGACCCTGCTTTCCCCCAGTGCGGTCCAGGAAAGGCAGGTGGGCCACTGGGGATGGAGGGGGCAGCCAGGGGCTGGCCCGAGTAGGAGCAGGATTGTGACATTCCCCCTGCACCCACGCCCGGTGGAGCCCACGGGGCCAAACTGAACGTGAGGGGATTGCTAATGAGCTGGAGGAGAGTTAAATATTCCCCTGCTCCAGAGGGCTGAGCTGGGGTGGGAGAGAGAAGGGGGAGGCGGGGCACTAGGAGGGGCAGCCCGAACCCTAGGAATGTGCAGAGGCCACGGCTCCCAGCTCCTGGCTCCCAGTCAGGCTGTTCTGGAGCTGGGCGCCAGGGCCCGGTGCCTCCAGCCCCAGCAGGAGCTGCTAAGCCAGCCAGCAAGGGGATTAACGGGGCTGAACAGTCTGCCTTCCTTCGGGCTGATGCCAGGAGGTCAGTGCTATCTCCCACCTCCCTGGCCAGGCCCCTTGCTGGCTGGCAGCCAGGTCTGGCCCAGCCTTGAAGGGTCCTTCTTCTGCCCCCCTCAGATCTCAAACAGACCCCACAGTGCATATTCCCTGGCCTGGCCTCCCCTGCTTTTGATACATATGGCCCCCCAGAACCTGGGACTCTCTCTCCCCAACATCCAGCCCAGTCTCTCCACATCTGGCCTCAGAGCCCTCTCCAAAAAGTTCTCCCTGATGTCTAACTTTAGTCTTACCTGCTGCAAAGTAGAATTCCATTTCTTTTCTGTCCTACAGTCAGAGGACAGAAAACCCCAAGGGTCAGGTCAGCCATGCAATAGCAAAATCCATCATCTCGGGGCTGGCGCTTGGGCAGGAATTAGAATTGTAGGGCACTTGCATGGTTCCTAAAGGGGGTTCCCTGGCAGGAAGGCCCTGAGGGCAAGCAGGGTCACTCCTCCCAGCCCCTCCCCTCTCTATCCCTGGGAGGTGGGGCAAGGACACCCACCTGGGCCATG